GGTCCGTCTGATGGCACCGTTCTGTTGTATCCCCTCCTCCCCTCATGTGCTGGTGATTTACTTTCACATATGTGTTCTGCTGAACAGTGTTTTGAAAGTGGTAGATTGAATTATTATTGCATTGACAACTGTGACCCCTGCTGATCTGTGCCCTTCCTTCCCACAGGGAGGATAGTGCTGTGTACCTGTCAGGCCTGGGGACCGTGGGGCTGGAGGTGTATGAGCAGGTGCCAAAGCTGGATGCTGTGATTTTCCCTGCAGGAGGCCACTGTGGCTTGCTGGCAGGGTCGGCTGCTACACTCAAATACCTCAACCCACATATTTCTGTAATTGTAAGTTTCCTTTTACCTTTTAAATGTTGCATTTGGGCAGCTTTCACCACAGATGCTTTCAAAAGACAGTAGTATCTAGTGATAGACTTGCAGAGACTGCATATGTGGGGGACAGGAACTATCTGATCTTGTGGGGTTTGCCTAGGAGAGCCTCTGAGAGCCAGGGAAGCTCCTGTCTCTTGGCTACTTGGTTTGATTTCAGAAAAAAAAAAACATGGGAAGATGTTTCCAAAACAAATGAAATCCAACTCTGTGTTTTGAAATAATTTCTTACTGGAAAAATTTGGTCCTAAGTAAGCTATGGAAAAAGTTTATTGGTAGCACAGTTGTTACGCAACTTGAAATTAATTGTTAATTTGAAGAGGAAACTTTCTGTAGGTTTTGGTGTCTACTTTGGTGGTGACCTCTATTATAACCGGTTCAATAAAAAAGTGACAATACTTGTCTTCCTCAGGGGGTTGAATCTGAAAGTTTCCCTGTATTGCAACATTCCCTAAAGGCTGGCCACCCAGCTGAAGACCAGGCCTGCAACAATCATCACTTTTATGGAGGTGAGAAAATGTGTTATTCTTTTGGAGGTAAAATAAAGGTTGTAATAGATTTCTTCAACTTTATTATTTTCTCCTTCAGTTCAAACATATTTTAAGAGAAATCTCTGAAAACTCAGAATTTAGTTCAAGCTGTGAGAGCAACTTCTGCCACAGTTTCCTCACCACCTCCCTGGAGTACAATGCTATTTCCAGTGCACACGAACACTTAGAAATATGAGAGTATTTGTCTGACCATTGTGCTCACAAGCAGTATCTAAAACAGTGAAATCAATGAGAAAGCTCTTGTGCAAAAGACTGAGTTGTGAAAAGGCAGGAAAATGGAGTGCTTAAATATTTAGACACACAGCGCTGTTCTCAGAACAACAGTGTTTATAAATGACACAGTTTTTTCCACATCATTTGCTCAAAAAAATCTCAACTGTTAAGCAACTTAAGAACATTCTGTTTACCTGATGTTCAAATCTCTGGAAGTTCTGGGTTAAATGGGAATTTTATAAAAAACTTATCCATCTTGGTAAGCTCTGCTTGTGTCTGCATCCCTTTGCTAACTGTCCTGCTGTAGCTAACAAGCCCAGTGCCATGCTTGGGTCTTCTCTCCTTCAAGCCTCATTAAACAGTGAAAAGCATTGGGCTGCAGGGTCACTCTCACAGTGCAACAGAGCCAGTGAAGTATCAGAATTTTCTTGGAGGGATCCAAAATGGCAAAATCTTCCTGTAAGATTTGGTCTTTCATTACCAAACGAATTTTTGTCATATGAAAAAAAATCAAGCAACCTAAGGTCATCTAACAGCAGTGTGCTGCATTCATTAAGGGCACAAACCAGCCAGGACTCCAAAAAATGTTGAATATGTCTAAAGCAACCAGCTTCATTGTTTTTTCTTTTGAAATCTGCAGATGTGAGTGGAGTTTGCTTTGGCAGCAATTCTTTGCAGCTGACTGGGAAACTTGTGGATAAAGTTGTTGCTGTGAGGTAGGTGAAGAAAAACAGTGAAATGAATAGCATTAGATGAACATTGCTGTATATGAAAAATGCAGTGTACCACCAGGGTATGGTGGTTCTGCTTGGGCGGTGGAGAGCAGGTTGGCAGGACATGCCACCATGTATACACTGTGAGAACATGGGGATGGGGCACCTTTCATTTCAAGAGGGGCACTGAAGACATTGAATCCAAACCCACATATCACAGAATCATAGAATATCTCATACTGGAAGATACCCATGAAGGATCATCAAATCCAACTCCCTACTCCTCGCAGGATTACCTAAAACTAAATGATATACTAAAAGCATTGTTCAGACTGGCCCTTTGGCCAACACTTCACCTGCTGCCAGTACCTGGCCATGCTCTGGGTGTAAAACTTGTCCTTGTTGTGTTCTACAACACTTGAAGGCAGCCCTTGGCAAAACTCTTCTAAATCTTCACAGAAAGGCCAAGTTTGTGGAATATACTTACTACTAGAATTTAGTTAATATTTATAGTAAAAAAACCCATCCTGTCTTTCAGTTAATAATGATTCTGAGATGTACATTCACCCCCAGCAGCACAGTGTTATGTAATGCTACCTTGAGGTCATATGTACCTGGGAAAATGGAAGGTACCTAGTTACACATAAATGTATTATCTTCTGATTTTGGTAGCTCTTTTGATTTGTTTTGACACAACTTTCCTGCTTTCAGGGAGGAGGACATCCTCATTTCCATGCTGAGATTGCTGGAGTATGAGCGAGCCACGGTTGATGCAGAAGGAGCCATTGGACTTGCAGCATTGGTGGCAGGGAAACTGCCTGAGTTGAAGGGTAAAAGGTACAGCAGCTGTTTCAAACAGGGAACCATGGCAGAAGCATGGGGCTGAGCACTTTGGTCCCAGGAAATGGTGAAAAGCTACTTGTTCTATGAGTGACAAGGCAGTTCCTGCCCCTGATCTGGCAATGGGCTTGTCAGTGGTGCATACTTCAGGCTGAATAGATCAGTCACAGGTCATAAGACTATGCTGAAGAAGACAAATGTCAGCCAGGAGACCTGAAAAATCTTGTAGTTTTCCTCTATTTTCAAATGGCTGGAGGAAAGGCAGTTGCACACAGCTCCACGAGGAATGGCTGCTCCTGCCAGGACAGTAACCTGCTCTTGTCAGCCTGTTGCCTCCTCCCATTCCACTTGTGAAAACCAGCCCTGTCTGTGGTGAGACAGGAGCTAGGCTATCTTCTGCAGTAACCCAGTGGCATCTACCTTCCAGTCATGAGAACAGTCCACATAGTCAGAGGGATTATCCTTGTGCTTGGTGTTGAACATGTGGGTAAGTGCTGCCTTGCCTCTCAGCTTAAGGATTCAGCACTTAAGTGGATTGAGCCTTGTCTCAGGACATAGTCCAGAATGTATTTAAACATACATGCCCTCAAGACAAAATTTCCAGTGCACAGCATTGTACACTAAAATACTGCTGAGGCAATTCTTCAGAAGAGGCTGACAGAGTACATACAGAGCAGCAGTGCATTCCAATTCAGTACAGCTAAAATAAAAGGGAAAATGCAAAGATTCAGTTTTAAAGAGGTCAGGTTTGACTCTGCAGAGAGAGATTTTCGTGGACTGACTATGTGGCTCTTCACTTGCTCTTCAAATATTTCTGCACTCATTTTTCAAGTTGAAGTGGATTTAATTAATGGGTACAGAAAGCCTTGACATATATGTTGTCTGATCATTAAGAGGCCGAAACTTAGAACTTCCAGGGAAAAATTATGTCAGACTTCAAAACTTGAAACAGACCTAGAATTCTCCAGCTAATTACCTCTAGCAAATGTCAGATCTTCAGGAAATGCAAAATGAAAACATTTCAGACCAACTAATGTAGCCAGTTTCTAGGCTCCCCCTGCCTGCTCACAGATGATACTGAGCACCAGCAGTCCCTCTGATTTATAATACATATCTGTTGTGGTAGGTTCTAGCAGACCTTAAGCTGATATTGAATACAGTGTCTGTGATTTATGGTTCCTTTACAGACAAGTGCTAATCAAAACTCCTATTTTTCTCTCTGTTTTCAGAGTGGCAGTTGTTATATGCAGTGGAAACCTGGAATTACATTTGCTGCAACAGTGCATAGCTCGTGCCCTGACCCTTGACAACACAGTGTGCAGATTTTCCCTTGTGATTTCTGACTGCCCAGGAGACATGTCAAAGCTACTGGAAATTTTGGCTCGGGAAGAAGCAAGGTAAATCAGACTAGTAGTAGGGAAATATAATCACAGAATACCACAAAGATTATTAGAGGTTTGGAAACCTTTCTAAATGTCTCTGAAGGCAAGTGTGTAAGTAACTAATTAATCAAAGGTTTTTTCTTGTTATATTTCAGAAAGGTTTTATTTCCTTTATTTTTGTTCTGACCTGAAAGCACCTTTGTAGCATTGAATTGTGTCTAATTCAGAAAGAAGCAAAGACAGTTGCTGTCTAAACACTTACAGAAGCTATTTTGCAGTGACAGGGGATTGTTGTGATCTCTAATTTGTCCTTTATTTGATCTAGAGTTTTGGATATCAAACAAGAACGCACATTTGTGACATCTGAGCTCTTCACTGTTGAGGTAAGATGAGATGCAATTTCAGTTTCTTTAGTAGTACTGGCCTCCCCTAGTTTACTCTGTTTTCCTATGTCTCTTTATGCTATGTTGAAGGAGTCTCATACAGTGTGCACAGTGATTTGGCGAGCAGTGTGAGAGACAATTTCTTCTCTGTTATACAGCACCTTGCCAAACACTTAGCAGGCATGTAAAGAACACAGGACCAGTTTTACCTGCTGTTGCAACACCCTGGGTGAAATACTCCAGCTGTCGTATTGCGGTGTTTCTCTTGCAAACCCTCCTTGCTGGCGTGGCAGTGTGCCAGAGGTGGTGAGCAACCTGCAGCATCCGTCCAGAACCTGAAGAACCAGCTATGTAGGTTGCTGTAATTGTCTGAGGTGTTCGCCTTAAAGTGATGTGGAGAACACCCTTACTCTTAAGGAACCCTCATTTTTAGCTAGGGCCTCAGTTTTATTCCTTACCCACAAAGAGCACAGAGCAAAATAATTATTCCTTTGTTGAGTGTTGGATATAGTAACAGTGAAGAGGTGTTAACACGGCATCTCTTAAAAGGACCATTTTTCTCATGGCATATCTCTTACTTCAACTGGTTTGGCAAAGGTGTGGTCCTACTGATTTCATGCTACCCCTGTCCAAGTCCAACCTGACTCAGTTTGTGAAACCACAAGTCAAATTAAGGATCTTTGCTAAACAGTCTCATAGCTGAGATGCAGTAATGCTATTGAGTAAGCTAGTTCTTCGATTTTGGCCTTTATATCTAATTTCCTGCCTGGATACAGAAACCTGTTCTATATTTTCACTTGAGGATATAAAGAAGAGGTAGATTAAATTTCACTTTAACAAGAGTACAATAAAATTCATGAACATTTTTCAGAACATGATATCATCAGTTCTCTCAAGTGTCTGGGACTAAAACTTCATTTTTCCCCAATATGCCATAATGACAGGCCAGCTTACAGCTTTGGGTAACTTGGGGATAGCATGACACTGCAGGGGTAGATAAATCCCTCTGAGTGACTGACTTAGCTCTGAAAACCCTTTTCACTCAAGGTGAGTTTCAACAAACCCTGTAACTCTTCTGAAGTTGTCAGTGCAATTTTTTTTAAGTGAGGCTTGTAGTTTTTGTTACTGCTACTAAGTAAAATAAATGACATCCACTGTCTTGGTTTTCAACTGAGAATGTTAGAACAACTTTCCATTGCTCTTGCAACCTCTCCCAACGAGTCAATTGTATCAGAACATGTAGTAAATACAGGCCCTGAATGAAAACAGTGCCATGTGCTATTCTCTGCCCTTTAAATACAATGTGCTTTCACTGACTGTCCACTTCGAGAATCTAACAGTGTTGTACTACAGAAGGGTGAAAGGGAGGAATTTGCGTTCCTGAATATTTTAATTGGATGTTGGATTTGCATGATGTCTTTTAATCAGTCTGGGAGAGGCTATTGGATAATCAGATGTGAAGAACAAAGTAGTGACACAGACGTACAGACCTCAGTGCCTTTGGAGGCAGCTTTATCTGGTGACACCTAGTGAACTGGAAGGCTTTTCTTTGAAAACTAAAACAAGTGTAATCAAAAAGGACAAAAATGCAGGATTTATCTTTCAGCATCAAAATGAATTTGCTCTAACCAGACACAGAAAAAATACTTATTTTCATAGTAAAGCTAATACACATGAGGGAGGTTTTGCTTTTTTCTTTGTTGTTTCTAAGAGCCAAAGCCCTGGGTCACCAAAGCATTTTAAACATTTGCTACTAAAGCAAACCTGAAATGAACTTTAGCATTTTTATCAGTGTAAATCTCAGCACATAAAATTAAGCATGCATTAAAATCTGAACCAAGAATCAAAATGACCATATATTGAACTGGTGATAATAATAAGGCATTACAGCTATACCCACTCCATTCTAACTTTAATGCATACTTTTGACTGTGGATATAAAGTGTTTGACAGAACAGAGCAGTAAGTGTAGTTGCTTATTTGAAGCACTAAATCAGTCCTGTCAAGATTGTCGTCTCAGTATTTAATAATTTTTTTAGATTTACCCCTTCATTTCCAAAGAAGAGAAACTTGGCTTCTAGTCACTGCTTATCAGGAAGATAGAGCTGCTGGTTTATTTTTTTTTTTTTTCATTCTAATGAAATGCCTTTCTCAGTTAGTGTTTATTCATCTAATGCATGCTTGGAACACTCTGTGGGAAGATCCTTGCTGATAGTCTGACTTCATGGAGGAGTAAGGACTTTCCAAATGAAACTTTATGTTCAAATTGCACTTCTGGAAAAATAATTTTTGAAATGTTTTACTGGCAAAAATAAGAGATTTTTTTAATTAAAAAAAAAGGAAGGAATATGGCTATATTAGATTAAACTGATTCTTAATGAAGTGCCTTATACAGTGGGATCAGCTGGTCATGTTCTTTGGAACAATATGGGAGTTTCTGTAGGATTCTGCCTGCTCATTCCTCCAGTTAAGATTCTCTTCCCTTGTGACTTGTGGTGGATTTCTTTCTTGCAGAGGACTACACCCTACTTCACTCTTACCTGAGCAGTTAGGAAATTACTTTCAAAGTCCCTATATTGAAATAGATAACTCTTAGCAAATCATACAAATAATCAATCTGGTAGGCTTCACATTTTATAGCTATTGAAGCAGGTTAGATGACTGGGAATATCTAGACAGAAATAAAAATCAGAGCTAATGAAAAAAATCAGCTAGTGTCACCAGTTAACTGGATGCAGAGGTCTAAAGGATTATCCAGTTCATGGGAGGAAGCTACAACTTGCCTCTGAGAACTTTCTCTATTCTCTATCAGTAATATTCCTCAGATTAAATTGGGACAATTTATCACTTAAATTGCTTCCATCTGTAAACCTCTTTATAACGATTTCAATTCCTTTAATTTCATATTATTATTGACTCAGAGAGAAGTCAATGAGAAAAATCAATAAACACCTTAATAAGGTAAGGACAGTCTTTGCTATGAAGCCATGCAAGGCTCTGCTGTAGATCAGTATCTTGCCTGCTTAAGGGGTGTCTCATTTTTGGATTCAGGCAACCCAGTTGAAATAAAATATCTTTGAGCTCATCAATTTTCTAGAAAAGTCTCCTTCTCACCACAGAAACTGTAGTGTAATCAGACCGGCAGGTACAGGAGCATCCTGGAACAGAGCAGTGAAGGCCTGCAGGGTCTTGAAGTGCCCCAGGAGCTTTGTGGAGCAGCTTTGGTGGCAGTGCTCTCTCTGACCTCCCTTCTGTCTCATGCTGTGGGCTTGTCTGGTCTGTTCACTTCAAACCTCTAGGGAGCATCACTCTGCCGTGGTTTTAAGTAACTCAGAAGAGATTAGTTGTAAAAAGAAGATCCATCACATCACTCCTCCCTCTGACTGGGCAAGAAAATTCTAATTCATAAATCAAATGTTGCCTTTTCAGTAACACTGCTCATTATCCCAGTGGTGCTGGAGTTCCTGGCTTGCTCTGTATGGTGTAATACCTTTTCTTTCCACATAGTTTATTCACCTCAGGCCAGAACTCAGTAAATTATTTTAGTCTGCTCTGGTCAATTTGAGTAAATTCCTTTGGGCCAACTTGTATTTTGTAAAAGGCTGGAGGGGAGTATTTTGGGCTAGAGTCCCCAGTTGCCAACATATTCCATGTTTTTGCCCTGTGAAGCAAATACAGAGGAGCAGGCAGCTGTACAGCTATGAGAAGAATGCTATCATTCCTAAAGCATTTCCTGCATGACCCTGGGCAAGGCTATGTTTCCATGCTTCACTTCCCCAACTACAAAATGGAGACACTTGGAGTGGGAAGTTCAACAATGCATTTCTTCTGAGGCCTCCAAAAGAATTCGGTCATGCTCTTTAATGGCATTCCAGAGCAGACTAACGAGGTACAGAATATCCTGCCCTAGTTGTAGAAATTAGAACCCTGCTCTGGGGAGGGTAAGAGCAGACCTGTTGGATTATTATCTGATTTACGTAATGTGTCAGTCGCTCGTTCGTGCTCCTGCTCACCAACCCCACTGCACGAATATGCCAAAAGATAAGGGCTCAGGTTGCACAACCAAGTGACAGCTGTTGCATTCTTTCTCAAGCGTTCCATCACTCTGACCTTGGGGACTATCTGGCAGCTGATCCCCAAACCATAAACCGAAGTGCTGTTACCAAATAATCTGTAATGTTCAGTAACCTACACTGGGTGTTTACTGAATAAATCAGAAAATTGCCCAGTTGCTAATTTTTTCGAATAGAAATTAAACCCCTTGCTTTAAATATAAAACTGAAACTAGCCTATATAAATAAAGTTTTCATTCCTAACTCGAGTGATTTTCATTCAAACAAACCTATAATATTGCTAAATGTGGTGTATCATGAATATTAAGTTATGTGAATTCTCCAACAACAACATCTTAGAAAAAGATGATGAATATGGTGTCTAGGACTGAAGAAATTAAGGTTCAAAGGATGAGTCAAAGACATAAAGAACTGCACTAGCTAGTTAGGATCTACCTTTACATGGAGCCCGGAAAAGAACAAAAGACTGAAACCTCTTGACTCAGCAATACTGCTCATGTTCTCTCTATTCTCTAACATTGGCTAAGTATGTCCACCCAAAATCTTTATTTGCACACACAGCCTACAGATAGGAGGCATCAGGGAGCCAAGAGGCATGCCAAACTCATTTTAAAAAAAAGGCAAGGTGCCCCGATTATGAAACTTGCAGTTAAAAGGGAGTAGAAGTGCCCACTATACTCAGCACAGAACTTTTCAAATTTCTTCCCCTTGTGAAGTTACGAACTTTCCTCTCTTTGAAATCAATTTAATTCCTATAAGTATGTGAATTTATACATCTGGACTTTGGTGTTGCACAGTAATAACTTGTGATCAATTTTTTGCTTTATCTTTTTTTTTTTGCCTTTGTCCTACTCTCTCAATTATTTCTGGTCATTAAATAAAACCCACAAGCCATCAATATACAGTGAAGTCTCTTCTGTCTTCAACTACATGTAGGGTTACTACAAAAAAATCCATCAGGCTACCTAAACCCTTAGGCTGGAATCAATCTTCAGATTACCTGACACAGGGAGCGGAACTCTAAATACAGTACAAGTACCATCTGGTTGGTTATTTTAGTGGTCTTACTGGACCAGACAATTTTATATTTATTTATTTAATCCAGCAAGGATATAATATATTGGAGAGAAATGCATAAAATGTACTCTGTTGTTGGTTTTGTGGGATTTTTTGATACACAGGAAAGAAAGGTCTACTGTGCATAGGTGGCCCTGCAGCCAATAAGAGCTCTGCAGGATCAAAAATCCCATCTATAGTTCTGAGGGCTACTGAGTCTGAAGTAAAAGTAAATTTTAAAGTAATTTTTTCTCTAGTTGTCATAGGTTATCTTGCCTGGAGTACAAAAAACATCAGCAATAGGTTTTGTCATTTGTTCTTAAATAAGAGCGCTTTGGAGCACTTACTCTTAGCTTGTCAACAGACAGACAACCTCCTGTAGCAAGTAGAACCTGGGTGGCTCTTTATTCTAGATAGATATAAACTCATATACCTCCCCATGAATATGAGGATTGCCCTGTTGGTCACTCATGTAAATTATACATCCCAGGTGAAGCAAGTAAGAGAGAGCAGTTCTGTGAAAATAAAACGGCAGTGTAAATTGGCTTAATCTGAGCAAGAAAATACTTGCCTTCCTTGCTGTTGAGATCTGTAGCTGCTGTGAGGTAGAGTGTGATTCTCTCTTCCCTCCTGCTGTGAGCAAATGTTCTCTGTTCCTCAATTTGACAAGTGTGAAAAATCAGGTAAATTTCTGGAGTTGTTTGTTGTCGCTGCTCTTGCTGTTACTACTTTATGATACACTACAAGGTATTATCTCCCAGATCACATGTTGGATGCAATGCATGCACAGAACAAAAGGACAGTATTTATCCAAACTGTTTACAAGGTCTCTGACTCTGATCTAGCCAAGGCTATCTGGCTTCAATCATTAGCAGAAAGGAAAGGGCAGAGAGGATAGTTAGTTCTATAAATCAAAATGCCTTCCCATGCTGGCACCCAGTGCAGAGCAACTGCTTGCTGCCAGACATTCAAGGTTGAACCTGGCAAGTTCAGACTGGTTCCAAGAGCAGCAATTGATTTACTCAGGACAAAGCAGGCATGATTGCTTTGGCAGAGGGAAAATGTTGCTTTTTTTAATTACAGACTCCATGAGAGATGAGTGTGTGCTCTTGAAGATATGGTTGCAAAGCTTTAGGGATTTTATGTGAACCAGGGAGTGGATAATAGGTATTGGTACATCGGTGCCTTTAGATATTTTTCCCAATCTTCGTGTTCTCTCATCTTCCCTCATTATTAATTGTCCTCTATGCCTGACCTTCTCTTGAGACTAAATCCCACTTTTTTTGGAGGAGGAAGAAATTAGCATCCAATTTGCATTCCAAAGAACCAAAAGAATAGAACTATGTTCAGCACAAGAGGCAAAGAATTACAAGACCAGATCAGAAATGTGGCTTATTTCATGATGGATATTTAAGAAGCTGTAGCCAATTTTCTAATTAAGTGAGCTGTTTAGAACAACCTGGAGTGTTAGTGTTCTATCCTTTCATCAATGGTTTTGCTAAAGATTTATTGTTATTTTAAGATCGTTCCAGGAAACATGAATTCACAAAGTTCTTATTTAGAAATCTGTTTGATTAGACAAAATTTTGGGTTTTGCCTTGTTACTTTCTGAAAAGGATGCAGCTCTGACAGCAGCATTATACAGGGCATCTGTCTCTAGCAGCCCACCATCAGTTGTTTCTCTATTCTCAGTAGATTTGCCTGTTATAATGAACTCTCTGTACTTGCACCATGACTCATCTTGGATCTTTCCTTGCTAGATTTCCATGTTTCTGTGAGGTCTTTTTTGCCACGTGGTACTTTCAACATCAGTGATAATTCCAGTAGGACCAGCTGTGATGGAAGTTAGTAGTCTAAAATTGTGAGGTATAATTTTCCTTCTGCACCTTCACATCAGTACCGCATCTTTGGTAGCACCCAGATTTTCAAGTGATGTGGCAGAGATGTGAGTATGTAGAAAAGAGAGATTATAGAAGAATTGAAAAAATGACATTGAAGTTATTATCTTCAGTGGCTGCATGACAGGATTGTCAACAGTATTTGTGGAGGCAAGTGAAGAATTAAATAAACTTTCAAGATTAGCTTTGCCTGAGATTAGTTTGATTTAGCAGCAGAACACCCATAACAGAAAACTAGAGGTGATGCAGTAAGCAAACAAAAATCAGAATAAAGCAAGAAGGTGCATGAGGAGATGAAACTAGTTAAAACACTGAAGAGATTAAAAAGTACAGGAGAATAACTCCATGAGTGAGAAGAGGAGGAGGAGAATATAAAAAGCTTGAAGGATGGAGGCACTGGAACAAATACTTCCCAGAAATATGGAAATGTGGTGAGGTAAGAGTCAGAGGTGGTGAGGTGGCAGCAGTGCCACGTACACACCCCAGGGAACAGAAAAGAGAAGCTACTAACAGATGACTTCAGGGAGGCCAAGAGCAGACAAGCATTCTTGCCCAGGAGCCAGCAGAGGATCAGCCTGTCTTCTTTAAACTTTGAAGGCAATAAAGTACAGCTTTTGGAAGGTTTTATGACCATGCAGAAGGACTGGGTGAGCCCCAGATATCTGCAATGTCAGTTTTCTTACCTGCGTAGACAGGAGATGTGAGGTCCAGAGGTTTTATGTTGAACTGATTGTTTTGTTTTTACGACTGTATTTTAGGATTAAGTTGGAAATGCCTTTGTCTGAGATTGCTGCCATGCATCAGGAATGGTCCTAATTCTTTTTCCAGGTCATCTGCACTGTAGAGACCAGAGACAAGATCCACACAGCCCAGCTGAGGAATGCGCTCTTGGAACGCTACCCCACAACTACCTGGACTCAGCGGTGATGGGCAGAGCCCAAGGGAAGGGACCGGGGTCCTCTGACAAGTATTTTACAGAGCCCTAATCTTGAGGCTTTCAGAACACATGTTATCTTTCAAAGCTGAACAGTTAGCAAATAGTTTCAGGATATTTATTTCCTGCTCAAAAGGTAGTGAATGTCTTTGGGGAAAAAAGTTAAATGCAAGACTTTAGCTTAGCTAAGGGAAACTTCTAGTCTCTGCTGGTGTTGGAATTCAATAATTCTTTATCAGCTGGCTGGCTGGATTTTGGCTAGTGTGTAGAATCCAATGATACTCAGTAAATAAACAGGGAGAAGGCATTTCTCTTTACATCTGAATATAGATCTCTCAAAGGTCTTCTGATTTTGATGCTCCTAGTTAAAGTAATACAGCTCCTTCTGCTGGACTTTGCCATACTGCTAGTACAGAAATTTTCTGTTTCCAAGCCAGAAGCAGTTTTCCATTTGATAAATCTGCTTCAGGAGGTATATACATGTGTGTTTGAACACACTTCTGTTCTAACTTTGCTATCATGTGAGGAAAAATTATGCTAATAAAATGTGATTTAAACAAAAGCAAAAAAACTCATTGGAAGATAAAAGCCAATATTGTATTTTTTTTTTCCAAGGGAAAATGATGCAATTTACAAAATAAGATTCCAGAATATGTTGCAGAAATAATAAAAAAAAAGTGTTCTGAATACAATTAGACCTGATACACAGAACACAAATGTAATTCTCTCCTCAATTTTTGGAGACTCGGTATAAAAAGTAGTATATAAAATGGCTTGTGTTTCTATATAAAAAGGGATCTCTCCACCCATGTGAATTTTGTAACTAGCATTCCACTGATCATCTTAGTCTGTCTAAAACAGACTCTATCCATCTCACCTGACGGATTAAGTACACAGTTAAGAGTGAAATATATTTAAAGACCACATGTTAATAGCCAGAGGCAGTGCTGGGAAAAGAGGAAGCCTAAGTCTTAGGCACATGGCTAATACAATTAACAAAGAACACATTGACCTAAATACCATTTCATCACTACAGGCAGAGACCTACCGATAATATAACAGAGTGGGATGGTAAGAAATGTAACAGAAATTCAGGCTCACTTCCAAATGTGTGTACAATGGTTGCTTTTCCATTTGGGCAAAATTTTATTTAAGCCCAGCTACAACAGAGCAAATATGCTGAATTTAATTGGGATTTACCAAAATTTTGGGTATAGGTATTTTAATGAGAGATCTTAATCCTGCTTCTACCATCAAGTTTATAAATAGGTATATAAAATAAATATTATGTATTTAGCAGTGCCCTAGCAAAAGCTCAGGGGAAAATCCAGCAGAGTGAGCATCCTCACAGGCTGCAGGGGATCAATACTCTGTTCCTTCTTATTGTGGCTCATGAAGAAGCAGGAGTTATAGAGTCTCACAGTGGTGGACAAAAAATAGAAGTTCACTGATTTGGTCTGGATTTGGAAGAACCATATTGGTTTGCACATGAAACTGAAAAGTATTGATGCCCCAAAGGTTAGTTTTGTTCCCTTCTTGCCATCCAGTATGATGGGTATAGGCTTTGGTCCTGCAAATCAAAGCCTGTCAGACACAGCTCCTCTCTTCATGGTCAGAAGAGTTTAAGAAATCTGTATGGAAATAGATGACAGACTATATATTACATAATTGCTACTTCCATTGAAACAAGCAACGAACAACATCATCAAAAATGTAAAATCACTATAAATAAGGGTATAATTACCCCCTCATGTCTTTTGCAAAACTCTCAGGAAATTTTGAGGATGTCTCAGGTATCCACATGAGAAGAAAATGGGACTTAATAACCAATGTTCTCAGTAGTGGCTTCTGCTGTCTGAGTACTTGGTTTATGGTCTTGTATTATCCTGGACTCTTTTTTAGAAGCTCAGAGCATTAACAACTTCCTTTCTAATCAGTCTTCACAAAACTGGGGTGAGAAGATGTAGCAGACAGAGGAACCAAAAATCGATGCGCCTGAAATCACCACAGGATTTTGAAAGTGTGTTGGGGGGGGGAAGAAAGGAAAGTGATGTCTAGAAGCTACTTAAAATGTCAAACTTGATATGTGCAGTTTGGTTTTATTTTTATTGTTTTAAGCATGAACATACATAAAAGTCTAAATCACTCTCCAGTGATAAACACTTTATATGTGAATATAATGAAACAGAATTGATTATCATTCTGTATTGCCTTTATTCAAGTCCATTGGCTTCAAAGATAAAATTAATATCTTCCAAGGGGAAAAAAATATCAAAATTAAACGTTTAAAGGAATGTATGCAATTGGAAAGAGTAATGAAATAGCTGTGCTACTAATTACTATATTATAAAATATAATAAGATCTGTGACATTTCAAAGATCTAATAATGTGTTTTTGAATGTTTTATTTAAAGAATTTTTATAGAATGTTCTTATGTACCTTGAAAAAATAACTTTAATGGCTATGTAAACATTTCTCAAATTATTAAATCAGCAAAACATAAATATAAGCATTGTATTTATTCGAAAAATAATTAAAATTGTGCTCTGCCACCTCAGCAAGGAAAGATTTGTCATTCTCTCGTGGTACTGACAGCAGTCTCATATTAAAAAAACCAGAGTTATTTTTTTTCCTGTGTCTGTCCTTGACATTGACACAAAATCCCCATCGTTTGTGCACGGGGGGAGCTCTGAGCTGCCAAGGAGGTGAGCACAGCTGGGCAGTGTGGCTGCTCTTGCCCTATGGAGTGCGATGGGAGATTTCTGGGCTGCTCCCCAGCATGGCTAGGTAAGGATCTCTCCTCACTGGCTTAGAAGGAGGTTCTGTTTCATGTATTAGCCCAGCTGCAAACACTGCCTCGCTTGTACCTGGCTGTGTTCCTGGGCAATGTGTAGAGTCTGGGAGCAGAGGTGTCTTGGGCTGGGCTTCTGTGGGTGAGTGAAGTCCGTGATGTCTGGTGAATTGGGCCTCGGGGATACTTATAGTAAGTATCATGAGCTTTGGTAAACCAGTCCCTCAATTTCAGGGTGCAGCAGACCAGCAGCTAAAATGCATGTACTTATCTTCAGTGGAAGAAGATGCTTTCACCCAGGTAATTCCACCAGTGCTAAGCTTCTTAGCTTTGGGAGCTGCCCTATGCTTTCACAGTTTGCCAGAGGCACAGCATGACTTCTTCCAAGGACTGATGCAAACAAGGTGTACCTTTAATTGAAACAAAATCTCTTCCCACATTGATTCCTTAATTTCTTCAGCCAGGTCCTGTTAGCTCTGGATTAACATCTAAAGCTCTGCCAGTACGTTTGTGCAGCATCAGGAGCAGTTCATCTCCCCATGCAGGTGGCATGTCCTCACAAGCAGCAACTTGCCTTCTAGAACACTGCTTATGGAAGATCCAGAAACATGTGTTAGATTGCAGTAAGTGCATTTGAGGTGTTAGTATTAAACTTTTGCTAGACCCAAACCTAGGCATGTGGTTTAGTGACTGGAAAAGGAAACTGCAAGACTGTGAGGTTGGGCTGTAATTCCTGCCAGTCATTTATTTGATGGCCTTGGTTCTCCTGTCACCTTCTTTGCTGTTTGTTTAACAGCAGTCTGCCATGTATGGGATATTGAAGTTTGCAGAGTTTCCTTCTATTACAAACCTTTGCTTTCATATGCTTCCAACTTTTTGCTACATCTCAATGGAGGGGGAATCCTTCTGAATGCTCTACCCCCCTGAGCAGGTGAATTTCCCATGGTTCAAAAGCACTTATTTATTTTAAATAAAGCTACAGCAAAAATTGCTGGCTGCGGTTGGAAAATATTCTAACAAAATATGAATGTTTTGAAGTATGTCAGCAGTGATCAACAGGGTCCCTAAGCCTGTACAGCTTTTCAGTCTGAAGAAAGGAAGAGTCCTTAAGGGGCAGAGCCGGATCAATCACACCTGAATGCATCCACCAAAAGGATACAAGGGGCTTGCCCTGTGCTGTTGATGTCTGAAAACTCTTCTAAATGCAGGTATTCTGGTTTACTTGTTTGTGGGGGGATTTTTGCAACTATGAAAAAAACCCTTTTTTTTCACACTTGAAATTTTGGAGAAGAATGTGGTTTTCCTTCTGATAAGAGGTCTAGAGAGTCTTTAGAAGGACATTTTACCTTGTATGGTTCTAGACTCGGTAAATTGGCTCCCTCTGTATTCCCTCAAGAAGCACCTAAGTGGTTTTTCTTTATGAAATGGTCTCAAAGAACATTGATAAATGATACAATGATGTTCCTTATACCTCTTTTCCTTCTCTCCTTCTTCCCAGTCATGCATGTGCTGTAGTTATGTCTGCACTTGCAGAGGCTTTGTAAAGTCTAGTAGAGTATGTGAATTGTGCCATATTATTACTTCTCTTCTGAGGAGCAACAGTAAAGGAAATGCTGAGGGATTTTTTGTTTCTTTTGCTTTCAACAAATGATGGTAATTCCTTGAGCTGTTCATGCAGGTCTTGCATACAGGCACCAGTCTGAATAAACACCTTGCTTACAAGGTTAATTGAATGCATAGGTTGTTGGCCATACAGCAAAAGTTTTCATTAAGTCCTCAAATGAGTGGAGTCACTAAAAAATATCTAGAAATATCTCTTTATTTTGTATGTGAATATCACCTACTGGGAGGCTGGGGAATAATTTTTATTTGTACGAAAAAATTTCTTTTGATCACCAATGCAGGTCAAGCTTGTAATGAACAAGTAAAAAAGCAAAGCATTTTTTAACTGGGTAGCCCGGTAAATAATGAAGTAAGACTGACAGCCTTGTTAACAAGGGCTCGTATACAGCAGTACTGTAATTAAAAAATGGAAACTGATGTTCCCCTCTCTTTATTCAAACATGCGGTATAAACAGAGAAGGAACCTACAGTTCAGATTCATTCATGGAAGCATTGCTGCATTGGTTAATTTTTTCTTTGTAAAGTTCATTTGCCTGGAAACCTTAAAATCAGTGAGCTAACAGTTGCCTTCCATAACTTTCCTCTAAAATCTATTGTATTTCTGTGGAAGGTTTGCAACTCTGACTCCCATCCCCTACCCACCCCCCTGAGATTGTGCTCATTGCCTATAGTGGTCAAATTTACTGCAGACTCTATGACAGTGACCATGGAGGCCCTTCCCTCAGCTTTAACTTGGCTCTGTTGCTCTTCAGGAGACCAATGCCTGGCCCCAGAGGAAATTAAATGTCCTTAACTAACCAACACTTGGGTATTTCCAAAGGCTGGCTCATTTGACTCCTGTTGTGTTTAGAAAAGTCTAGGCCAGCATGGAATAGAGGCAAAGCAAGATAACATATTGTGATTCTGAGAAAGATTCCATCAGTCCCTCACAAAAATGAGCTACAGCCCTGAAGGCTTTGGAAATAGTTCTTGAAAACAGGTGGGAAACCTCCTACTGTCTCTGTTCAGACTCAGCAAAGTTTCTGAGCTGATGCTGCCTATCCTGATCCAGATTCTCCTCAACAGAGCTTGATTTGAGCAGTGATTTGCCAAACATGCTGATCCGGATTACCTGCCTTACTTTAAGGAGTACATTACACTCATTTCCATATATTCCCATATATTATGACTTAAGGGTGAAAAAGGACCTGGGTAGTTTCTTTGTGTTTTCTTGTTCAACAAAGCTACCAAGAAATCACAGCATAAAAGTACTGTTTTAAGTGATGTGGTTATTTGTGACTTATATGAAAAAAATTCTTTTGATCACCAATGCAGGTCAAATAAATAATGACCTTTTTTCTTATATATGTCTAGAAAAAACAGGCATGATTGTTTTAAATTTTTTTGGCATCTACTTTACATTATTAGTATAATGCATACCCGGTCTTGCACACAGACTTTCATAGCAAGAGTTGTTTTGTTGGTTTTTTTTCTTGTTGCCAATTTGAAATGGATGTCTAAACAGTATTTATTTCCCTTTAGTGATGCCAACAGCCTAGCTGGCAGAAATACCCATTCTGAAAAACCTTCTGAAGCCCTCCTGTAAGTTTCCTTTCAGTGGGAAGTAATATTTTGAAATATTTTGTTAAGTACTTATGTTTGCAAGTGTTTTCTTTTGGCAAGCAGGGCGGGCTGGGTGTTGGTGTGGATGGTTTGACACTCAGCCCAGCCTTTGGGAAGACGCTTCTGTTGCTCTGCCCCTCTGTTGTGGAAAGGGCATTTTGATTGCAGTGGAAAGAGTTGCTCCATGTGATTAAGAGTAATCCTTTGTTGTTGCTATTAGGATAGCCTGGAGCTTAGCTTACACCTGGTGTAACCAGCACTGTTTTTCCAAAGAGCCCATCGTAGCCATGCACGTTATGTCTCTGTGAGCTCTGGCAGGTGCTGACTCAATTCGTGCTTCTGCTGATTCTTTTTAACTAAAAAATTCTGTGAGGTGTTATGGTGTGTTTATCTTACTGTGATGCTAGAAACACTACAAACACCTATTCAGAAACAGTATGTCAATATTATTTTGAATCTTGTCATTCTGTGGGTTTCTTCCTTTTCCTCAAGGCCAGTCAGCATTGCTTATCCCCAGCTGCTCAGACATTCAGCTGGGGAATCTCATCTTGGAACCTGAAAAACAGGCCTCTGGTCTGCTTACAGCTCCGGGACAGAGAGTGAGAGTAAGCACTACTTGGTTTTGTTTGGTTTATTTTTTTACACAAGTGTTAAAACTGAACTGCTGCCAAGCAAGGGTTGGGAAGAGAAAGTGTCTGAAAGTAGATAAATATCTAGTAGTTCTATTTCTAAAAAGTTTGATAAGCAATGCCCAAGAACCTCCATGCAGAGAGCTGCTGAAATCTGTCATGCTAAACAAAAATCCCAGAGAAGCTTCCAAAAAATGCTGCCAAAGTCAGTGTCTGGTTAAAACTTGTTCTAACTTGGACATACTTTTTAACCAAGGCAGTTATAAAATTTTTCTACTATAGCTTCCTTGGGCTCCACTGAAGAAGCTTTTGCCATTGCCGCTCTCAAAGGAAGCCCTTCTAATTGAGTCTAACAGCACGTAGACAACTTCTCAGAGCTGTGATTTACCTGCAGCCATTCCAGAGCCCAGGTGGAAGTGCTGTGAAGGTCAGCATGACAAGCGCTTGGTGTGCAGGCTGGTGGTGGGAGAGGAAGGTAGTGGAGTAGTTCTGACCTTATTTACAGCCTCACTGATGGAAAGTGAATAGTGGGAAACAAGAACAGACAAAAATGCCTCTTGAGAAGAAAGAAGTATTGTGCCATTTTTCTTAAGTCTTGAACTAGCCCTTAGCATTATTGTTACACCTTTACCATTGTACAGGAACAATATCATGAAAATGCTAAACCAAAGTTAC